CATATTTTATACATAATTAATATATATATATATATATATATTGTGTATTTGACTAGCATATTGTGTAGTTATTTTTGCCAACTAACTAACTGTGTAACTTGCCTTTCATTTTTCCTCCATGATTTATTTGGTAGTCCATTTATTTCTCTCGTTTTTCAGACATATTACTGGTCTATTTTCATGTTTTCACACCAACGTGGTTGTTTTTTACTATGCAATAGTAAATATTATTAAGTTGGACAGGAAATATGGTAAAATTGGGTTACTGAATCGTACGAAAGTATCATGTAAAACCCCTACATGCTGAAACAAAGACACAAAAGGGATTATCTATTCTTAACGGGCAAAGCGAGCACTTTTATTCTGAATTTTTTAATTTAGAATGAATTAAATGTCCCCAAGTAGGATTCGATCTATGGCCAATCGGCTAACAGCTGACCGTTCTAACACTAAGCTATTGAGGAATAACGGGAGATTTGGAGATTCGATCTCATAGAGCTTAACTCCCGTTCTCAATCCATGACTAATATGAGCTCGAAACTTCTTCATAATGGGTCTCTTACAACCTTCATTTCAGAGAAAACCTCAAAGTGGCTCTATTTCATTATATTTCATTAAAAAATAGGTTGCTATTTAGACATTTACTTGAATTCTGTTAAAGACATATGGTATATATGATGATGAATTTATTCAAATATTTACTAAAAATTCTGTTAAGAATATAGATGATATGATGATCATTTGTCTTTAATGATATCTCAATTTTTATTATCGTCATTTCTATCAACATGTGAAAGAAAAAAAAAATATACCGAGAAGCAAAATAATTAGAGATTCCTCATTTTTATACAATTACTTGCCATTATGAATGCAGAAGGGAATTATAAAATTGACATAAATATCCAAATATTTATCTTTGAACTGATCTAGGAAGTAAGAAAAAACAAGCAAGAGAGACACAATAAGAAATACCATTAATTTGTTGAAAATAACATAGAGGAGCAATAAGATAATATTACTTGCCAATTAGTATACATTTCTTTCTAAAATAATCAATTTTTGTCTTTCTTTATACAAGAGGATAGAGATAAAAATGTGTTAGACTCGAAGAAAAAAAAGAAGGAAAAAAAAACATAATACCTTCTTGTTAATCTATGTAAATTTCTCCTCATCATACGAAATGGACCTATAGACAATCTAAGTAAAATTCAATCTACTTCTAATATCGAATCAGGATCGTATTTTATTCTTTTAATAACTATCTTGAGCGTAGAAGTCAATAATTTCCTTGAGATTAAGCTCAAATAAAGAAGAGAAATCATTTTGCATCAACCACAACATATGCTCAAACAAGATAGAATCCACATCCACAAAAATCACTTTGTTTTCTTTAATATTCTCATTTACTTTCCATTTATCTTCTTTTTTTCTCACCATTTCAATCAAAACCCTAAAAGGGCTTTCTTCCAATACACATGGCTCCACCAAGAATTCTCTCTTTTCCTTCCCCACAACTACAGTCACCTGATCAGTATTTGAATCTCCATAACCATTTTCAGATAGTGATTGGTAGCCTAATCGGCCTGAACGACGCCTTTTCAAGATTGATACTGGAATTATGCAATCCATAAGGTGGATTTACAAAGGCTCTAGCTAGGAAATTTGTGTATTTAGCTAAAATACTTGTATGAGAATTTTTTTTGATATTTTTTGAAGGTGTTGGGACTTGGTTATAGTTGTTATTTGACTTGTTGTGATAGATGAAGAGTTGTTGAATGAGGGTATGGATTGAATTGGCCAGCCAAAGGGTTAATAAAATGTGTATATATAAAGACAACATATAATACAATTCTATTGTAGATGATAGGAATATGGAAAGTGACAGACAATTTGATAAATGGAAAAGCTACTAGAGCTTGTGAAAGATAGTTGTGACAGGTTTGTCATTGGTGTGAATTAGTCCCTATATATCTTAAGTTTGAAACATGTCACATGCATGCAAGGCTATACTAGGCAATTTGGGGTAGTTAATTTTACCGGCAGAATTCAGGATTTGAAATTTATGAGTTTTTACAGCAATCTCAAATTAATATATATAATAATTACCAATTCATAGTAAAATATGTATAAATATTTAGTTAATTTCTTAATACATATAACAAAATTACTATGTTCAAGTGAACTCATATATAATACTAAGCTAGTGCTTGGCCATAGATTTCCAAATTTATTTTGAAAAATCTAATTTGGGTGAAGTTTGGTTTGAAGATGAGAATGTGTTTGGACATAAGCTTTCAAAACATATTTCATTTCTTTTTTTGAAAAAATATGAATAGTGACTTATACCACAAGTTCTAAAAATTATCACAAATACCCAATAGTACATTTATCTATAACATTCATTATATTATCGCAAACTATAGTCCTGAACATAAATAAATTTGGTACAAAATTATTATTTTTATGATGAACTACATAATACACTATCAGATGACCGAGAAGACGAAGCATCATTATTACAAAATAATAAATTGTAGGCTCTTTTATAAAATACAAAATTTTGGGGTAATTTTAAAAAAATGTAATAGTGATATTTTGGGGCAAAACCAGCTCTTGAGGTGGTTTTAGGATTTGGGTTTTGGGAATTCGTCAAAATATAGATAAAATCTATGGCCAAATACGTATTTGTCAAAAAAATCCTAAATATATTTTGACGAAATTTATGGTCAAACGGGTCCTGAGGATCAACCCCTGGCTAATTTCACATCAATTGTCAAATTATATGATTATAGTTTTAATTTTTTTTCACGAGTCGAGCGCGTGAAAAAAAATTCTTATAATGAATGGCAGTGAAATTTGAACTTAAGTTAGAGAAAAATGCTTAGACATTGTTTAAGGAAACTTAAGTGGATATACAACTTNCTGCAAAGAGTTAAGTTTCAACTAAATCAAACACCACCAAACTTTTGTGCACTACTTAGAGCATTACTTAGATTTTACTTTGATTCAGGGTAGTTAGTACACATGAATGAGCAATATCTGGTTCTTGATTTTGACTAAAGAATGGAGAATAATTACTCTTATAGAATAAGTTTAGTGGTAAGTACACGTAGCCATCTGCATTAAATTTGGTACAATTGTGGTATTAGAAGTTACTGGTTCATGGCTTTGACAGCTAGAAGACAACTTACGGATTCGATCGAACTCAAAAAATATATTCTAAATTTTGTATTTGCGTTAGGGACAAGGTGGGAGTGGCCTCGGGGGAGAACAAGTTGCTGAAATCGAGGTTGCAATAGTTCGAGCATGTGAAGAGGAGAGACATAGATGCAGGCCTGAGGAAGGGTAGGGGTAGGCCAAAAAAGTATTGGGAAGAGGTGATTAGGCATAACATATCATTGCTTCACCTTACCGAGGACATGACCTACTATAGAAAGGTGTGGAGGTCGAGGTTAAGGTGGTAGGTTGACAGGTAGTTGTGAGTTTCTCCTATGCTTACCAGTACTACTAGTACTATTTTTATATTCTCTTATTCCTGGTTCTTTATTACTTGTGTCATTAGCTTCCATTATCCTATTACATTGTTGTTGCTATTGCTTGTTGCTTTATTTTTACTATTCCTTGAGCTAAGGGTCTATCGGAAACCAGACTCTCTACCTTTATAGGGTAGGGGTAAGGTCTGCGTATACACTACTTTCCCCAGACTCCACTTATGGGATTAAACTGGGTTTATTGTTATTAATAAGTTAATTATATATACACAAAATTCAAATTTAAAATTCATTTATTAGTACTTGAAGTCGTTATAGAATTCAAAGCACATAAAATTTAAATCTTGAATCCGCCTTTGATTGACACCACCCCTACCAGACACCAACTTGGCCAGGTTGAAGTTGAAATTTTGCTTGACTCAAACCTAAATCACCAATTGTTTTGTCACTGTTTTCCAGCATATTTTGATATTTGGCAGAGATAATTATTATTTTCATTTTCCAACCAACCTGACTATTGACTAGTTGATAGCTTCTGCTTATTAAATGTGTTTTCTTCTTTATTTTTCCGTATTTATTAGTCCAGATGTATATTTGAACCTTTTCCCAAAAAAGGAAAGTACTAAATATAGCAATTACAACAGCAAATTTATCATGCATACCAGCTTCTCATGACTAAAAAAGGGGGCAGCCCGTGCACTAAGCTTGCGCTATGCGCGGGTCCGGAGAAGGACAGAACCACAAGGGTCTATTATATGTAATCTATCCTGCATTTCTGCAAGAGGTTGTTTCCACGTCTCGAACACGTGACCTCCTACTCACATGGCAACAACTTTATCAGTTACACCAAGGCTTACCCTGCATTTCTGCAAGAGGTTGTTTCTACGTCTCTAACCCGTGACCTCATAATCACATGGTGGCAAATTTACCAGTTACGCCAAAGCTCCCTTTCACCAGCTTCTCATGACTAAAGTCTTAAATTAGCAAGTTCTAAGTGAAAGAAAAGAGGGCAAACTTCTAATTGGAAATAGAAGAATTATTATAGCAGAAATAGTAATTGCATTGAGACCTAATCAACTCAGTTTATGACTACCATATCTAACAAATACCTAGAAAAGAAAGTTATAAAATTGGTTTGGCAATCAGAGAATAAGTAAATACTCAAACCACACAGTCACCTAAAATATACTAAGACTAAGGTGGTGAAGAAACCATGACTTGACTTTCTGCAAATTAGCCATGCCTTTTGACCTATCCTACAACTGATAAACTAAAGGGTGAAGACCAAGCAAGGAAAAAGAAGAAAAAAGAGAGATAATCAAGCTTAAGTCAAAACTCGATATGACGGCTATAATCTGCTGCCTATGATCAGTCGCGGATCAAGAAGTCAAATACCCTTGGGATCGTCGTGTCAAGTGAAGGAAGCATTTTCACATTGTTTGGCCCCAGTACGTTGGCATACCGTGCATTGGTTGAGCAGCATTACCGAAAGGTCCTTGTTCGTGGCCGAGAGGACTGCCACCATTCTCATCCGATGAGTCGCTTGAGGCACCCTGGGAAGGAGAGCTCGCCTCGGTGACCGGAGCACCAAAATTCAACATATTGGAAGGTGGAGGTGGAGATGGTGCCTTAGACTTGGGCTTTTTCCCTTCCGCAATAAAGCTACCCACAACCACCTGGTAGTGAAGAAGAAGCCGTTAGCAAGTAACACGATATGCATACAGCGGCATGCGGATTTTTCACAAGTGGAGTCGACATTTAAAGAAGACTAGAAGAGCGCAAACACGCAAATCAACTGTGTAACATTATAACATCTTCAGTTTTTGTGAAGGGGCTTTATTTAGCCTATTGGTTTAGTCGAATCTTATTTCTAGAGGTCAGGGTTCGGTTTTGTACCACCTTTATTTTTTAAGAAAAGAGGCTAAAAATACATATGCAGGTTGAGGTTCGAACCCCTAACCTCTATTTAAGCAAATGAAACGCTTGACCAGTGGACTAGGAAGCACTATTCATTGAGCAGTGTCTTTGTACATTATTTGTTCCAACTTTTTGCACATTATTATATGTAAATTTAGTAAAATTTTCCGATGAAGAGGCAGTTAGAATAGCACCTGTACCGGAGTGGCAGCCATAAGCATTCCTGCAACTCCACCGCCCAAAACTCTACCATCTGGCCCAGATAGTGACACGCTTAGACCACCTGTTCTGCTACGACTACCATTACTTTCTGAAAGCAAGAACGAACCTGATAACGAGATGATTTCAAATCGGCCCTGCATATAAAGAGTAACACCATGTTCGATGACCAACGCCAAAAAGGTATGTTAGAAGACAATTGGTATACATGCAATCATCAGCATTAACATACAGCAGACACTTCACAACTTTTGCAATAAACGCACATCAAATTACTTGTGAAATATGCAATACATAAGATAGAGCCATCAAGACAATCCCATTAACTGAAAATTAGTATGGAAAATCGTTCCAGATAAGTTTATTACTCAGAACTACCCAAAGCAATGGTTTTCCATTGTAGCAGCTCTCATTTTTTCTCTCAGTCTCTTCTTTTGGATAAGATTGACAACGCATGAGTTGATGTCAACATAACAAAACCACAAGGTCATCCGTCATAAAATAAAACGATCAGATACACCTAAACTCGTATTAACCAACTACTGCAAAAATGACATTTCAAGGGGAATAATTATGCTTCATACATGAAGAAGAAGTCTCTGACATCAACAACAACAACAACAACACTCCCAGTATATTCCCACAAGTGGAGTCTGGAGAGAGTAGTGTGTACGCAGGCCTTACACCTACCTAGTGAAGGTAGAGAGATTGTTTCCGGTAGACTCTCGGCTCATAAAGGTGAGAAGAAAGACCAAAAAGGGAGAAAAAGAAGCCTCAACTGAATTCATTCTTTTCGTGTGGGCTTAACACCATCTGTTGAAGGTTTTATTGTGTTTCATCCTGCTTCAAGTACATTCATGGCTCCTATACAAACACTTCTAACAGAAAGAGAACTACCAGCCAAAAGGCTGTAACATATACAATTATACATAGGCTAATTAAGAACTACTACACATGCAACAGCATAAGGCAACAGAAAAGGCAAGTGTCTTGAAGCTGAAACTCATACAAACCTCATAGGTCACAGTGCCACCACCCATTGCAGGTTGGCGAAGGGTGACATTAGATACAGCTCCATTTGCAGATAGAATACAAACTGCCCGTGGTCCTTGCTGTGAGAAAGCCATTACCTTTGACGATATGTCCTGCGTCCAAGGTAACAGATTCGCAATCATAAAGAAAACTCAACCAAAAATTCACAAGGCTGGGACTTCAACTAAAGCCAAACTTAAACAAGAAGTTTGATTATAGGTAAGATATAAATATTACGTATTAGTTCCATTAGACTTTTTATTGTTAACAAATGGAGCTGTGAACCCCACAAAATTTCAGTTACCATTCACCATAAACAACAACTGATGCAACAACATGCGCGATTTAGATATGGTAGCACCTTTAGTAAATACAAAAACCAGGTGCATGGGTTTTAAAGAAATTCACCACCAAAAGACGCTCCATATCCCACTTTAAGTTTAACCTAGATCACCAAGATACTACCTCTGTTTAAAGTTTAAACCTTGAAACCCACAAGCAAACAATCTAATGGAAGCCAACTCTGATAACATCTAATCAAAAAGCTGAAAATTACAACCTCCAAGTAATTCATTAACATGTTTGAGATATAAGGATGCATAGGAAGGAAAAAAACTTAATGCAACTAAAAAAGAGAAGTCAAGACGGAAGAGCCAAGATCTTGCCTGTACAAATAAAAGGAAAGAGACTAATGATGATTGGAACGAAGAACACACAAATGAAACTCTGATGTCTGACATGAATTAACAACAGTACCTTATTTAGCTCATGAAAGACAAAAAGGTAAAATTTTCAATTTCCAACTTACAAAAGATCCAAAAAATATCTCATCCTTCCAAACCACTGTATTGCAACTCGGAAACGCTGCACAAAATCATACCTTTATTTCACCATTAGAAACTCCATCAAATATTGTATATTGGTTCTTTTAATTCATCCTAGAATACTTGTCCATCAATCAGTTATTGGCGTATCAACCCAAAAGATTAAGAAGGAAGCCAACGAAAAACTATATACAGAAGTATACTGAATCTTCATTTTTCTCTAATAAGAAACTTGAGACTCTAGCCGTGATAGAACAACAACATACAGCACAAAAAATATGCAGACTCATGCATGTGTAAAATACATAGGTTAATCAGAGTTTTGTAAAACATGCTGTAAAAAATTGCATGCTTTACCCCAAAGATCAATAAGCAAAAAGATATTTTACCTCGCCAATATTCACAGTGATTAAATGTGGTGTGAAGCCAAATCCAACTGCACCTATCAACCATCAAGAAACCCAATAATCACTATGTTGCAGGTGCTAAATTGGTAAACACAAACCTCTGTCACAAAACGTTTGGCACTTTTCACTTCCCAAGATTTTTTTCAATTGACCAAACTTTGACCAGCATCTTAAGATTTTTATTTCACCCTTTTCCTACAAGAATTGCAACTTATAGTACTTTGCATATCCACATACTAAATTTTAATTTTTCAAATTTAAATTTTTCCAATATATTTGGCCCCTAACCAGACTCATAAGCAAATAGTGCCAAATAAATTGGGACATAGGGAAAGGTTGAGGAAATAAAAAGGCAGTACAAAAGTTTAGCAATAATAAGCATATGTATTTCCAAATGAGTTTTTAACTTTTATGCGTTGATAGTGTAAATGGCAGGTTAACTACATGTAACCATCTATAAAAAGTGGGGATTAGGAACCCGGAAAAATAAGGCTTACCTACTACAACAACTTGAACTACACTAATATAGTAAAAATCTTTACATTATCAATGTAAATAAGTTAAATCCTTTCCAAATGAAGTTAACTTCTATGCATTGACAGTGTAAATGTCAGGTTATCTACATGTAATGTAACCGTCCATAAAAAGTGGGATTATGATACTTATAATCCCAATGTATCATATTAGTAACCTAAAAAATAAGGCACGTTACCTAATACAAAAAAAAGGCAATCCTAAAATATTGCAATGATAAACAAAATTATTTTCCAAATGAGTTTCAACTTCTATGTATTGATAATGTAAACCCTCCATAAAAAGTGAGATTAGTAACCTGCAAAATAAGGCAAGTTACCTGCCACAACAGATTATTCTTTACATTATCCGTGTATATAAATTAAGTTGTTTGCATTACCAATGTATATAAGTTAAATCATTTCCTAATTAGAAGCTCAATACATAATTTGTTTTATGACGGTGAGGTGTGCACCCTTCAACTATTCCACCAGGTACCTGCTACCTCCCACCAGCACAAGTATGGAGTAACTCTACCCTCCAAGGCTTAGGCAAACGCGAATAAATCACTACTATTTTTTGTCTCTACTAAGATTTAAACCTAGATACATAATTAAATCAGCTAGATACATAATTAAAGCAATAAAGAAGACAAATATATACCAAAAGCTTCTACTTGTTTCTTTCCCGAGCCAGGAGGCCTCCCGCGGGACTTCTTAGAAGGGTTCTCTCCATTATTACCAGCAGCAGCAGAATCTGTATGACTCACCACTGAAGGAATTTGAGTAACTGGATTAGGAGAAAGGCCTAAAGCAATGTTATTATTATTATTATTATTATTATTATTATTATTATTATCAGTAGAGTACTTTCGGGGCCTGCCTCTTTTCTTCTTAGCAGGCTCAATGCTTAAACCTAAAGCAGCAGATGATGATCCATCAGAGTAATCAAGATTGGGTTTTGGGTTTGGTCCAGAAACTGAATTGAAGGGAAATTGTAAGTTTTGTTGTTGGGATTGTTGCTGTTGCTGCTGCTGCTGGATATTGTTGTGTGTGGGAAAGGTGGGTTGTTTTTGTTGGTGGGGTTGGTGGGGTTGGTGGAATTGG